TGTTTTGCAAAAAACAATTGTTCTATTTGCACACGTGAATGCCAAAAAACGATATCAATGGTACAAGGAACTTGAGCTAACCAATGGTCGATCTGATCGCTCGATTGGTTGTTGGTTTCGTGTGACTAACCGCACATATGCAAGTATGTATGTATTTATGTACAAGGTAGCTACGTTCCTAGCGGATTCGTTTGTGGCTAGTTGGTGTGGAAAAGCGGGTCAAAGACTGTCAAAGGGGTATCAGAAACTACCGTTTGGCCTGTCCGAAAAGCACGCCTTGATAGAGCACGTTCCCAAATTCCATAGAAACGACCATCGCATTGGGTGGCAGTCCCATTGGGGCACCTGAAGGAAATTGGAAAAGAAATCTGAGATGTTCCTTTCTATGAAAATTTCATGTTTTCAAGCTAGTTACTGAGGTCCTTGGGGTTAATGATGGCTGGGAGGCTGAGGATCTGTATCCACACATCCTCCTAAGGGCACCTTGTGTTGCAGTCCGTGCTGAGGATATTTTATCCTCACACAGTGAGTGAAGCAGCTGTATGGCCTTTCTTCGTACATGTGCAACACATGCTGATGCATGCTGCCATTACCTTAAGATATTCTGCCCATGGCTTAAAAACCTGACCTGAAGTACTGGGCGTCAGCCTCGGAAATCAACAGTAGGCACGGATCACCCAGCATTCAACCTTTTGTTATTCCTGACTACTTATAAGTAGCTAAGATCACTTCTGTCAAATGCCGAAATACTCCCTTGCTGAAAGCGGTGGCCGTACCATCCGGAACGCCGGTTTTTCGCGAATTACTAAATGCGTACCACGTGAAATGCTGTTGGAGACACCGGTATCAGCTTGATTTCGGCCCAGACTTCTCAATCCTGGAACGTGATTTAAAGTGACAAACCCGGGTCATGATGCCAATGTGCTTCGCTAGTGCGAAATACCAATGAAGTTGTTCTTGGTTGTGGGCTACCCACCCTCCTGATCCAGATGGGGCCGTGGCACTTTTGATTGGGTCCAGTTTCGGGACAGTGTCACAAGCTTCGTAGAGAGAATGCCTTGTTTTTTGGTCAAAACACGAATAGCGAGTCTTTGTGTCATCAACGAATCTACACCGGCAACAGGGAGAAAGCATGGCTTGGCCTCCGTGTACCACTACTGTCTACATAACTTCAGCTACTAATGTCTTTCTCAGTAGCGAAAAACTTGTTCACCTCAACTGCGCCGTGTGTTCAAGGCCTGTCCTAGTTCATTTTTCCACTGCTGAAAAAATTGGGTAGTCCCAGTAAAGCCAAATGTCGAATAACCTCGCAGTTGACCTACTCATTCGCAAGGGATAGCCATGTATCGATTAGTTGGACTCGACTGGTGTTATGTTGATATCCCTATTGGATGCGACCTATTCAAAAATCACTTCTCAACTCTCTTAATCAGTCGCTCCATATCTACTTTATTACGCAGTGTGGTTTCGTTGCAATAACAGGAGAAAGTCTTGTCTCCCGGGAGATGGACACTGTCAGTTCAGAACATCAATTAACTTACCGGACTGTGTTTGTATTCGGAGGTTGTGCATCCCCATGGAAAAGTTCATTGAAGCTGTGTTGTGAGATGGGGTCGTAGTTGATGTTGCGGTTAGATACTGCGTGCCGGCACCGGGTTCGGTACACTTTCGACCATCGGTAACCGGAGGCTTTTTAGTCACACTTGAAATGCTTTGATAGCGTTTCGGGTTGGCCTCACAATTTGTAGTATACGGACCAACCGATCGAGGAATTTTCGCAGTTGGCTGGTCCATGCCGGTAAGAGCAGCTCTTATTGCGGGCCTCTTCCCCGACGCTGTGACCGAGGAGGACGAATAGGCAGTTGAATTGAGTTTACTGTGGAAATTTTCTGTGAGCGGAAGTATACCGGGGTTTGGCGAGTGGCCACTATCCTCTTCATCTTCCACGGATCTCGCCCCGTTTTGTTCATCTCGAGAATCTACGTTGATAGAGCTCCAGCTATGGGAACGGTTTGTCTAGATACAAAGAGTGGTTGGGAGTGGTTACGCAGTGAAATCAATAAGGAACTCGTCTGGTAGACCAATGTTAAACTAACCCAAGAGTTTTTCTACGTTTTTATGGGACTCGAAGACAATCTACTTCAACCGCTAGTCTGACAACTGGGCGAATAAGGAAGTTCAATGGAGAAAAATAACTCATGATGCCTGAACATGCGAAGGGGCATTCCCATGAGGCTGATTACTTTCCTCACGGCACACTGAATCCCCGAAAAAGTAAGGAATACGACGTTTTGTGCATTTCATCTGTCTGTTCCTAATGTGTACTAGAAGGTGCTGAACTTGCATGTGGAACATTCAGTATTCAATATTTTCAGATGAACGCTTTTGATGATCTACACGTTGGAGAGACGCATGCTTTTTAATTAGAAAAACAAAATTCTCACAAACCTATGTTCTTCCGGAGAACACAGACGTCTCCTTGAGTCCAGGAAGCCTTCCGTAACACCAAATCGACCGCGTCGTTACTTTCGCTTGAGACAGACTTTGAGCGGGAATATCTTATAGACCATTGGAGATCCCACGAATCTTCTATCTGTTTTTTTGCTAACGACAAAATCTCGTGGACATATGTTCAGTGTTGGCAGTAGAGAATGCACTCTTCTATGATGAACTGGTCATGTTTGACCGCGGACTTTAACGGTCAAAACAATGGAATTAGCACCATTTGTCCGTAGCACTATCATCTTCATAAGCTCTAGTCCCGATGGCTTGACATCGCGTACCAGCGAGGCCTCGGTTGTCCAATGACTCTGCTGCCTTCCCACGCCATCGCGGGAGAAGGCTGATGACTTCTGCAAGCCAAATCTAGTTCCTTGAAAGGATACTGGCTCATTCTGATCCGCGTGGCTGAGAGGACCCACAGTTACAGGAATGCTTCGCGATATTCTGATGCTGTTAGTTGACACAATCCAGTCTGGTGCCTTGTATCTTGAGTAAAGTGGGCTTTTGAACCAGCAGAAAAACGACTTCTAGTGGACTAGAGACATAGAAACGGCTTCTTGTATATAACCAATTAACACGGACTGTTTGTTTTTGACCAAATGTGATATCCCCAACCTATGAACACAAGTGAAACCGACCTCGACCGCCGATACTTGTAAAGAAAGATATGCCGTAAAACACATCTTTCGTCCTGCGACAGGACGTTAACTGGTTTGCTTCTGACGGAGGTTGCAGGAATTACAATCGTTCATCAGGAGGTGATAATGACAATGCACTTTTATGTTTTCATAAAGGAAAGTGCTCACAAGGTTGCTGAAAACTCTTCAACAGCCCATGACCGGTTTCGTCCTTCTTGGGGCTTATCAGGTAGGCGCGTGAAAACCAAACTGATTTGCAAATGAGTCTGTTTCTTCAAAACAGTCCGATTTGGGTTCAAGTAGAACATAAGGTTAACAGAGATTCGAGGACTGCGCCTACCTGATGAGTCCCAAGAATGGCGAAACCGGTCGTGGGAAACGGCTTCTTGTATATAACCAATTAACACGGACTGTTTGTTTTTGACCAAATGTGATATCCCCAACCTATGAACACAAGTGAAACCGACCTCGACCGCCGATACTTGTAAAGAAAGATATGCCGTAAAACACATCTTTCGTCCTGCGACAGGACGTTAACTGGTTTGCTTCTGACGGAGGTTGCAGGAATTACAATCGTTCATCAGGAGGTGATAATGACAATGCACTTTTATGTTTTCATAAAGGAAAGTGCTCACAAGGTTGCTGAAAACTCTTCAACAGCCCATGACCGGTTTCGTCCTTCTTGGGGCTTATCAGGTAGGCGCGTGAAAACCAAACTGATTTGCAAATGAGTCTGTTTCTTCAAAACAGTCCGATTTGGGTTCAAGTAGAACATATAGTTAACAGGGACTCGAGGACGCCAACTTGTTAGCTTCGCAGGGAGGTTGCAGGAATTACAATCGTTCGTCAGGACGAGATAATGATAACACAATTTCATGTCGTTGCAGAAGCGGCTCTGGGGTAAAATGGTATCGAACAGCCCGCTTCAAAACATCAAGACTTTTATGGTATATTTGTCACCAGTTCTGGCCATTGTTAACATTGGTTTTCGCATCGAAATTCTTCTCATTTCCAATCAAAATAGAGTTATTGGTTCGTCAATACTACTGAATTTCCTCCGAGTGAGGTTGCTAAAAGTAGGCTGCCGTAAACTGCTATAAACGCGTACATTTGTCCGTGGTTGATTAAAATACTTATGAGTATAAGTATGAATACAATTTTAGTCACTTCTCTCTTCTGTATTGATTGTACCAACTATAATTTTCCGAGTAAAAATATTGTAAAAATTATCCCGAAATGGCCATGAACGACGCCAGAAAATCTGCATATCCTCCGACTTGTGGACAGATCATGCCTAGGTGAGGTGACATACCTTATTTCCCTTAAGGGACCTTGTTGTCAGTTTTTGACCGCAGGGTAGGATCAAAGTTGGGTTCGACTTCTCCTGGTTTGTCTACTGTTGAGGTTGTAATCACCGGTGGATTATTGAACAGAAAACTCATGAGAGGGTCGTTATCGTCGCGGATAATAACGCGGGGCCCACCTGACGGCTTTCTTCCTGTATCGGGACCTAGTATACTGGGTCTCAATTCAGGATGGATTTCCCCATACAACTCTTGATGTAATATCCGCTTCATTAGTGATCAGTTTACGCCAACTTCTAAAAGAATAGACTTTGCCCAGAGCGTACTCACAATATTCCATTACGAGAACGCGATTTGTACTACTGTTTCTGTAATCTATTCGCCAAGTAAATTTTGTTGAGTGTTTCTCAATCTATTCGAGACGTACGTCGATTACTACAAAACTTCTGTTACTGCTATTATTACCATATTGTCGCATATGTCGTTTTATTACATTCTCTGCGTTACTGTGTGCTGCAATACCGTATACTTTACTATACTATGCTATACTATACTATATAATATACTATAGTAAACTACACTATACCATACTATACTATACTGTACTGTACTATACTATACTGTACTATACAATGCACCGTATACTATACTATATTATGCTATACTATTGTATACTATACTACAGTATACTATACTATACCATACTATACTATACTGTACTGTACTATACTATACTGTACTATACAATGCACCGTATACTATACTATATTATGCTATACTATTGTATACTATACTACAGTATACTATACTATACCATACTATACTATACTGTAGTAGCTGCTTCGGTGTGTCAGAGAGTTTGCGCGTGTGCGTGTCCGTTCGTCGTTCCACCATCGATCTGGTATGTGACTTGAGTGGCAGATTGGATGCGTGTCCGATTGGTTGGCTCGCGTGAGCGCTGTGGGTTGACTGGATGTGTGACTCAGTTGTTTTGCTTGCCTGCCACGAAAGCGGACCAGTTTGGCCGCGTGTACCCAATACACCCGTGTCCGTACTTACGTGTTCTTCTGACTTACTGTGAATCACAATATATACTATACCATACTATGCTATACTGTATACTATCGGTCTATTACTTTATCCCAGTCGCCTAGACGAGGGAATAAACCTCTGATTTTGGTTGACTTTCATGTTGATTTCGAGTTGCTTTGAATGACTTGCAGGCTTCACAGGTTGTGTACTATCATTACCATTCCGTTCAGTTACTGAACCTTTTCATATGGTACCGAGTCCCCTGGTGGCCACAAACAAGAATCGCGATTGTTTGGTAGCCAAAAATCCACTGCTATCGCATGCCTTTCAGAAGGTGAAGTACTCGCCCGGAACCCAGTGCCGTGTAAGCATAACTGATCGCCTGGATTTTATCGGGCGATTGTTTGTTACGCAGGCCACGTTCACGTGACATGGTTGTGATATCGATCCTGTAGCTGTGTGCGACAATAGCTAGTGAAATCCCTTTCGTTATTGTCTCTGCAACATACATTTCATTCAAAGAAGAGAACCCTGATGAATATTGGCTCATTTTGGAGTTCACGTGCTCAAGACTGTCAGCTGGAGACGCTGTTGGGAGCATGTCAGCATTGGCTGACACCGTAAAAAGAGAACCAGGAATATACGCAGCTAGCATTGCAAAACTATGCATGCAGCACACTTAACAAAAATGGGTGGATAAAATGGCGCTTACCGCCTGTGTTTGACTTACCGACTCCTCCGGTTCGACGGGTGTCAGATTATTTGTACTAGTGAAAGCCATCTTCGATCGTTGACCACCACTCTGCCCACATCCAGGATACATCCACTTCACTTCCTTTTCCGTTCCATTTAGCTCGGGTGAACAAATTTCCATATCACTCCGCTTTTTCACATCACTCAGTGGCGCTTGCTCTTTGTTCTGGCTACGAGAGAGATGTGGACGAGGCGCACACCTCTGAAGATGATGATGTCGTCGAATGGCCTGAGTTCCAGGTAGGGCTTCTCGCCGCTTCTCGTCCTTGCGGTCTCCAGAAAAAATTTTTTCTCGTCTCTCTTGACCAAAGTGTTGCTGTTCACTTGGAGAGTTGGGGTTTTGATCAGATGAGTAGGGTTCATCGTCGTACGTACTGGATTCTTTGGAAGATGGAAAGCGGCAATTCAACGCGAGACAATGGTGCTCTGGTCTTACTGATTACAATGCTCCAACACACAGTTCAGCCAGAAGGGTGTTGGCGCAAAGGGTGTAACTTACCTTTTGTGGACTGCGAATCCATTGGTTCTTCTGTGGCCGTCAGGTTCAATGGGGAAACGGAGCTTGTTCGGTCACGATCGGCATCTTCGCCACCACGGTTGTGATGAGTAACACCCGACGAAAGTTGCTGATTGAGACAGGATTGTAAGAAAGAAACGAGATAACAAAATGCTTTTGACTAGAGACTGTCTCCTCTTATCCTGTCTTATCGTAGACCTGTTACTTGTTACTTGTAAGCAAGCATCACAAAATGGAGTCAAGTAACCAAGTGATGTCCAACGTACTAGGTTGCTATCCTAAGAGCCGGTATCAATTAGCAAAGCAACGTACTGCTCTTTCTCTCGAGTGTCCATCTATACTTAGAAATGCTTTAGCCGTAATGCCAAAACCTTGCTTTTCTCATGTGAACGCTTTCAACGCGACAAACCGCGGTTTCGGCGGCTTTCGAGAGTGCGTGTCTCCTGAGAAAAATACGATTAGTGAAACTGACACCAGCCTATGGTGTCACAGAGTACACAATCTCGGTGACGTGCTAAAGGATATCTGTTGGTTAGTCAGATGGTAGTTGGTCTGTTCTCCCAGCTTGGCAACTTGGTTGCAAACGTTTCGTTCCCAGTCGAGAAGACATCGTCAGTGTGCATTTGAGTGGGTGCTTCCTCCGTACCTAGCTGCGTTTACATAGTTTTTAAAGAGTATCTGATATCTTGTCATGTGATTGGCTAATTGGTATATGCCTTTCTTGTAGTATTATTGACTCAATTGTGATTTGTGGTGCGTTGTTGTCTGCATGCCTTGTATTCCATTGGTTGGCTGGATGGTTGTTTTGGGGTGTTTCAGGTCCATTTTTGATTGGTCCGTTTCCGGTTTCTGTTGCGTTGTGGCCTCTCTTCCTTGAATTCGGTTGGTTATGATAGCGGTTTCCGTTTTCGTAGTTTCCTTACTCCAGCCTTCTTCAGCCTGATTGCTTGTTTGTTTGTCCGCCTCTGCGTTCCGTAGTCCCGTATTTCTTTTGCTTGTAATGGTCGATAGACTGGGTCGATTTTGATGTGTTTGTTGATGGCTTTATTAGTGGAGTGCCAGGCTTCTATGAATTCACGTTGTTTCTTCGTTCTCTCTTGTGTCGATGTGTGAACGGTGCTCCAGTTGAGTCTATGTCCAACTTGCTCTTTGTCCACGGAGACGAGTGAAAATTGGCCGCGCCTTTTGGTTGGTGTTCATGTATTCCGCTAGGGTGCTTCCTTCCTCTCTATCTGAAGGTTCAAGTGGCCTTCATCTGTCGTTCTCGACATTCTTATCCTCAATAGAAAATGCAGTTTCCCAAACTGAATTTTTCAACCCAATCGCTGACTTTAAACCCGGACACCGATGGACCATTTTTTCTTCCGCCATCCCCAAAACGAAGTACCACAGGTGGTCTGTTCAGTCGCCGATAATTAATCAACTCCAGTCGTCACTCCATACGTTATATTAGTACTGCCACATCACTCGACCCAGTTGCCCGACACGAAGGCGATATCAGTTTGATTCCTACCTCCATCGATGGAATAGAATAGACGGTGAGGTGGAGATGGAGACAGTGTGGATCACAACCGTTCCAACAATCGAATGTATCGACTCTAGCTGGCTGATTTGCTTCTCCTGGGGGTGTTAATGTGACCTGCATTTGGCGGGATCACTTACATCAGCCGTGTTAGACCACAGGTTAGTCGAACAGATGGGAAATGTATTGTTTAATCACACTGTCCCATCCCGCTCAGTGTGGTGCCATCCGGAAGCAAGTTATCATCGTTCTGAGCGCGTGCACATGTGTGGAAAAAAAGGGGTACATCTAATGTAACATTAATTTACCTGATTCTGTTCACACCGGTGTTGTCCATAAGCCATGATGGTAGGTCCAAAGGGGTTGTGGTACTACATTAGGGCTGGTTTTTGCGCTTACCAGCGTTGTCTATAAGCACATGTCTGAGGAGATGACAGGTTACATTCCATTTGCTTGATTAGTTGGTCACAAACGTTACTTATGACGGACAGCTGTATTCTTATGGAAAGGTGATGTCCGAAGCCAGCTTACAAGGGATCCACTTGTCCGATTCCCGGAGACCGGATGCCGAATCAGAACCGAGAACCTCCTCGTTCGTTCTTGTGCGACTCAGTATTTTCAATAGATATCAGACCGAGTACGTTTCACCGGTTCAAGCCAGAAGTCTTCATCTAATAGAACTTACACAACACTTCCTAAATTTACAGGTAACTGGTAATTTACTAATCGAGCTTTGTACCAGAGCTTACCAGATCACTTAAGTATCGGTGTAACCGTGGCTACTACTGGTGGGATATGTGAGTAGTATGTTTTCTCCTAAATCCGCTTCGCGTCTCTTAAGAAGTGAAGTCTGTTATGGAATTCGTGGAGTCATTTTATAGCATTTGCTTAAATTTGAGTAACAGTCAATGAATATCCAGGAAAGTTCAGGAAGATGCGTTCAGAGAGAAGATGGATATTCAGTTTTTATAAACAAGATGCATATGAGAGTTTTGCTTCTCTGTCCAGTCGTCCGTAACTGTTCACTTGGCGTTTTCTAATAGACAACTCCTAAGCGGAGGCTTTCTTCCTTCCGCCAGATCTGATTTTCCTCGTAGCTGAGAGGTTTTTGATAAGTGTCTTTGAGTATTCGATGAGGTGTGCTGTCTAGTTGTCAGCGCTTTCCCCTCATGCCTCTGCTTCGAAAGTGATGACTACGGCTAAAAGTAAAGCCCAGCTAGATTGCATTCAGTGTTTGAAATCGGATCCCACACGAAACGCTCCATTCCTGGACCTTGGGTTTAATTTATCATGTACAGACGCGGACAAAAATGAAAAACGTGTAGCAGAAAAGTTTATAGAAATCTAACGATGTTGCATACCTGAGCTCGGTGCAGACCAGTTTTGTGAGAGCCGTCGCTGGACGGACTATGACGCGGCTGGTTCGAACCTGCGTTTAACCGTTGACCAGCTATCGTAGAATCTACCATATTGTGTTGTGAATGAGGATTTCCGGCCACGAATGCACCCGGCAGTGGAGGGAACCCCGCCCCGAACAAAGTGGCCGCAGCGGCGGCAAAACTGTTCGGAATTCCAGGAATCAAATAGCCGGACGAGTGAGTAGGGGAACCAAGGGTCGGGTCTGTGCTTCCCGAAGTATAGGACTGAAGCGGTCCACTGCCGACAGAAGATCCTGTGGTGGACGAAATCGGAGGTAAGAGATTTGTTGGAAACATGGTAGTAACACCAGCACCGGCCTGGTGTACTGATGAAGATGAGAGGTTCAGACCCGGTGGTGTTGATCCAGGAGGAAAGCCAAACAGTGGATGGAGTGGGTTGAGTTGGGAACTCATACCGATTGGGGTATTCGCCCCAAAGGGGAGAGTGACACCGGACAATGTTGGTATCCCAGTATTCATACCGGAACCGCCCATTGTGGAGTGAAACGAGGGAGATCCGTTGAGCCCAGAACCAGAAAGAATTGATCCAAGAGGCATGGGTCCTGAACTAGACATTTGTGAATTGGACGAATGAGCCGCAATAAGACTTGAGGGTGTCAAAGGTCTATTTGATCCCGTAGGTGTGACCATCATTGGATAGTCAAATGTGTAGGAAGAACGGCGTGCTTCTCTTCGATTCCCGTCGATCGCGGCTTGCAGTTCACTCGGTGTACTCAAGCCCAATGTGTCGCATTCATAAGGGTAGAGGTACTTCATATATCTACAGTGGAGAGGTGGGTATATTTTATAGATAGCGTCTAAATACATATTTGAATGCAGGACAAACCTATGTGTGTGTCCACGTTTCTTATATAGCTAATGTAAAATTTTGAGTGAGTATCGCAAGAGTGCAGTGTTCAATATTAAGGTCAAATTCGTCCTGGTCGCTGAGCCACAGTCCACGTACAGTGGGTTGTCGTCCACTCTCGCAACCCACAGCCACTGCCGATTCGGGCTGCGTCACTTGTGCAATCATCCGAGCGTCTTTCAGACTGCATAAGTCCGAGAGGGATCGTTTCCAGGCGAGCCCCGCCACTAATGCAAAAAGTGCATGTGCGAAAAGTTAAGCCCGCCACCACTTTTTGCCAGCTCCAATTTAATGTACCCACACAACCTTGACCTATTTTTGATGAAAACAAGTCCTTATCCGTATCTAGGCTCACTTTGTGCAAAACTTTTCTCCGTTCGGACGTAAAACCTCAAATGAACTTTCTGACGCTTTCAACTCTCGTCTATGACAAGGAAACGGCAATACGTTTTTTGCAAAGCCATGGAGTGACACATAATCAAAATTTATGCAATAATGGCCACCAAATGACACTTTCAACTGTTTCTGACGGGTGGAGATGTAACGCCCAACAGTGTCGGCAAGAAATCGGTCTTCGAAAGGGAACTTGGCTGGAGGGGTATGGGATGGAGTTTAGGACAGTAATTCTATTCATTTATTTCTAGTCTAGAAATTTGGCAAAAATCCAATTTTGCTCAGAGGAATTATCTATTAGCCACGCGACCGCTGTTGACTTGAAGAACTTTCTTAACGAAGTTTGCTCCTGGCGGCTTTTGCAGACTCCAACAGTTGTCGGCGGCCCTTTGGCACGTCTACAAGGTGCAGAATAAACGCCAATATGGCAACTACTTGTGTGAGTTCATTTGGAGGCAAAGGTACCGAAAAACGGACCTTTTCACACAAATTATTAATGACATGTTCCAATTTCACCCTCTTCAATAAAAACGAAAAGTACATATTTCATACCCTCATTTTTCTAATCTTTTTTGGGTGGCGGGGGTTAATTTTTTGGCGGGGCTTATTTGGACAAGATCCTCCGAAAGCATAAGAAATGAAGTAGAACAGAAAAGAGGCTTTCCAAGTCCATTGGTTCATTGAAATTTAGTCTATTCGTCTATGTTGAAGACACTGATTGCCACTAGGTTGCGATTAAAGTCGTTGTTTTTTGGATACCGGGACAAAATGTGGTTACCACGGTGATTCTCTTGTACGAAAGTGAAATGAATAACAGCTGAAGAGTTCAGAGGTTTAAGGTCGGAGTTATGGTTGAGTAGTCTGAGCTGGTCCACAGGAATACAACTCAGATGCCTGGTGCTGAGTTATTTTCTGCTAATTAACTTCCTTCGTTTTTTAATAGAATTATTTCAACAGCTCGCTCTGTCAGTTTGTTTCGACTGCCTTCGTCCTCACTGATCCGTCCTCATCTGTGATGTGAACTCTCATGCGACATGTTCAGCCGAAATCAAAACCACTCACGTGATGTGATGAGTAGTCATCACCTTGTGCGTAGAACAGCCAATTTTCGTATTGAGCAGTCATCCACACAGCAATGATATCAAGTGACACCAGCATTGATGTTCAACATCGTTTTCAACCGTTCACTTTCGAAATGGTGTCAAAGAATGGTTAGAAATTTGAAAAAAAAAAGTATTTGATAGGGGCAGCCCGTTGTAATCATTCACCCTGTACTGAGTGACAGTTAAAGCTCGATTTTTCAGATGTATGAAAATGCTCTGGGGCTAATTGCTGGTGGTGATAGCTAACGACTAATCAGCTACTCAGTTTGACCAGCAAATGGAGAGTATATTTCCATACTGTCACTCTCACAATATTGTCCCAAACGAATCTGCCGACTGGGCTGATTGGGACATTCAAATTATCCGCTGAGACGGGGAGTGCCCGTCGAGATTCACTGACTTCAAGGGTCATAAGGCCTACTCAAAATCAACATTTTCTCCAGATCTACTCACTCACTCAGAGTAGTACAAGCAGAGTGAAATTCCACCAGCTTCACAGCCCTTCACAAGACAAAAGGACAAAGTGTTCCACGTCATTCCGCAGACTTTAACTTATTGGGGGACAAACAGCATATCACAAACTCGAGATTCACCGTAATCGACTCACTGGGTTCGCAGAGTGAAAGCGGCACTGGTTATGGACGACGGCAGGTTCAAGCCTTTTGTTATTTCACGCCACAGTTTCTTGTTGATCACTTCCACCAGGCCACCACGAGCAACAACCAGTTGGAAGAGTTCATACAGGTCAAGCACCTGTTTAGCCATGATTGGGATGCGGTTGACCGGTGTTCCTTTGGGAAAAATAACCATAGAAAATGCAAAGTTAACGATCACTTATAAGGCAATGTTGCTGGGACAAGAACTGACAAGTTACCAGTGTAATGGCGGATACTACTGATGAGGCGTGCAAGTAGCAAATGGTTTCCTCGTAACTCCGCCTCGCGTCTAATGGAAAATGCACCCCATGGAGTTTATTACGGAACCTGCAGAAATGTTCTGCAGCGTTCGTTCACAGTTGCATGATCGTCAGTCAATATTCACGAAATTTGAAGAAGACGTGTGAAGATGTTCAGTTTTTAAAAATAGGAGATGTTCACTTTCCCGTCCAATAGTTTGTAACCGTTTAGTTCCTGGCGAGCGAATCCGCGGTGGAGGGTCTCCTCCTTACACCAGTACGATACGACAGTGTTAGCAAAGTGCACTCATTTGCATACCAATTTGGTTTTCACGATGAAAGCTCTCGTTTATTGTGTTCCTCGTCCACGGAATGTGCCGCACCAGGTCGCCTCACGAAATTCGAAAGATCAGCAAATTTATTAATAGCGTTTGCGAATTGCAGCGAAAAACATCCTAGTTACTCCATCTCAGTATTCTAAAGAGCGCAGATCAAAGTACGAATGACCTCATTGCTTTCCAAACGCAACGACATTCAATCTCATGTACCACGGCTCGGTCATGACGGCAGAAGGGTGGAAAAAACCCAAACATATGAATCTGTCGCCAGCCACAAATCTCGGTCTATCTCGTCAAAGCTCGATTTAACAAGCTACCAAGCGTCGTATCGACATACTATGCACTAATGATGGCTTCCATTTGATAGGCACCAGCCAGGTGGCAGACGCAGGTGATTCGGGATATGAAACCAACCGTACTGGCATGTCAAAACAATAGACGCTCAGCGTTTAATTTTTCCCCCAATCACCACCCATGCCCACCCTCAGGCGTCCAGATTTAATGTGTCAGTGAATCCGTGTGAGAAAAAAACGAATCGTGTGCATCGAACGGCTGCACCTGGTGGTGAGCTTACCGCGGAGTGGCAGATCAATTATTCGCCGTTCATCTACCGATTCACTCGACAATCTGGACTGATGTGAACCATACCAGCGCAATCTCCCGGTGTATTCAATTGAAATTTCCACGACAGTTTCCATCCCAAGCAGGTGACAAATAGTTTGGGGAGACCTATCGTAAAATTCTGACCAAAATCAGGTGTAGAACGGGATAGGAGCTTGACGACCGTGTGGAGAACCGGAACACAGGAGAGTCTGAACAGCAAATTGGAACTCTTCAATTCATTTGGCTTTGCATAAATTAGGCACCCTCCATGTCACTGCGTCCGGTTTTTTTTTAAGATGACTCGATGTGGACTTTAGCGTATCCTCAGCAAAACCCGAAGACAATTTGACATCAAATTTAGATGTCCCAAGAAGTATTTTGAATCTGGTATGAACCAGATTGCTAGGTCCTACACAGGGCACTTTGAGACTCCTATCATCTCGAGAATTTCAGCTGGTGTCGTGTGAGAATGTACCAGGCTACCTCTTACATACCGGTTAGCGTGACTTACGACTTTTTTCATCTTTCTTCTGTTTTCCAGCCAAACTGTCTTCCACCCGGTTGGAAGGGAATATTCACCTGAGTACTTTTGTAGCGGTAGTCTCTTTAAGAGGAAACTGTCTGAATATGATCACCCACCCATGATTCCTTGCTGAGTTTGAAAGTTGTCAGTGAAACCAATCGATTCTCATTCACCCGACTGCATTATTTTGAGCCACTTTCGAAGGAAAACCTCGCTCATCCATGTAGTTAGTCCAAATAGAGTTTGGCAAAACGCAGTACAAGTTCCTCTGAACGAACTTTGGTTGTTGAGTGATCAAAATCCGTGTGCTGGAAATGTACCATTAATCAGTCAGCCCTGGGATGTGTTTGCTTTCTTCGGTTGACTAGGAAAGATGCTGTTTGTGATAAGTAATCGTGCAAATTCTAGTTTATAAAGGTTTCTGAACCCGTGTGAAATTTCCTTTCGAGTGAGTGGGTTCCAACATTGGTGTTGTAGATGGATTCACGGATTCACGCTCATATCACCCTCGTTTGAACAGTCATCCTCCTGTCCTGAGCTAAGTTCACACCAAAGGAGTAAGTACTCGACTCGGGTTATCGGTCTTCTTAGAGCTCATGAGCAGTGCATATACCAATGGCCGTGTCGGAGTTCGAGCTCTGAACTTCTGTGCTGAGCGTGCTACCATAGCTCCATCAGCGCAAGCCGGACACACCTGAACAAACGGACGCGTTCACACCTAAGCGATGTGACTGGTGCGAACTCACCAAAAGAACGGCACCAGGGCAGGAGAACTGTTCAACTCACTAGAGGAACGGCACCAGGGCAGGAGAACTGTTCAAACGATAGTAGTGTGAACAAGAAGCATTTTGCCGTTTGCCCAATTGGCCCATCAATGACTCCATTCCGATAACAGTAAGCTGTAAAGTTTCCTTTCGGCTGTTTGATGATTTCACTTCTCAGCAACTGACCAAATCTTGTTGGGCACCGATGCAATTTGGTCTGATGCCATTCTCTACCGATCCGTCTACGGCTGATTCCCGATCGAAATATATCAGCGAATAGTCGAGGTTTTCAAGGTGCTCAAATCGTAAGTAGATCCGATTGATTTTTTCTGTTAATCTCAAGTTTCCAGTATGGTCAACCTTGTTACAAATGAACAAAACTTCCCTCTAATCAGTTTCTAACCCACACTGAATCAAAGTGCGTTCTGTAGGCAGAGAAAGACAAAGTTCCAGGTACATTTAAGGTGAAACAGCTTCCGGCTACCTGATGCTGAGTAGCTTTCATTCCGCTCACTTTCAGTCCAACTGCGTTCATGCTTTGTTATCATAACCACACGGACCGACAGTTGGAGTAACCCAGCAAGACTTGACGGGTTAGCTGTACTTTACCTTATTCCACGTAAGCGAACAGACAAACGAACGGTCTACTGAAGGCAGCAATCCTCTGGAATAGCAAAGTTCTCCTAAAATTAAACTTCTGGATATGACATGCCTATGGGCTGGTTGTTGAATTATGTAAAACTGGCTGGACAGAATTTAGCCAGATTTGTGGTGAATCAGGAAATTTCAGTTTACTAAACCGAACTATTTGGAAGCAAGATAAACCCCCAAACAAATGAGTATGCATAGAATCTGAGGATTGGGGCATCCTTTGGGACGTGCCTTAACAAACGATCGGAAAACACTGTTTCAACCAAAAGACCTAAAAATCATGGCTTTCCCTGATCCAAATGCAATCTTCTAGGCTTTTGCAGCTCGAAACTCGCCTAAAATAATTCTACATGCTTGTATGTCTACTCAGTGACAGCGATATCACTCACAGCACATCTGTTCAGTGTGACAGAACTCAAGGACATCGTGATAACCACTTCGAGCCAGGAGGCTCCGCTTTCTAGATTCTTCAGTTGAAAGAATAACAGCCGATTATCCTTCGGTACAAGTCCGTCACACGTGGGAGGTAAGTATGAATTTGAGGACCCTGATTGGTGTCTGAAACAGCAGGGCACACGAGCTTGTTCTAAAACGCACTTCACACGACTTTTCCAGGTGAATGGTCTAGAAATCGCTCGACTAAATTAACGGAACTGCTCTACAGGGAACCGACCGCTGTCCGAAAATTCCCGAATGTGAAGTGGAGTTACCCAAAGTTTGTGTTAAATTAGACGCACTAAAATTGAGTCGCTTCACGCTACACCACATTTGACTTCTGATCTCTGTTAGGAAGCAATCCAGTTCACCCATGTTGGACAATTTCCAGAAACATTTCGTGAAAAAATGTCGTGGCTATCCAAAATGAGTTAAGTTTTCATAAAGGAAACTACTCACAAGGTTGCTGAAAACTCTTCGACAGCCCATGACCGGTTTCTCTTTGCACATCAAATGGATTTTCACGAGAGATTCAACTAATTCTCTCGTTCGTGATATTCCTCTTCTAGATGTGCTACATAAAGGCCAGCTCATGTTTTAGTTGGCAAGCCATTCAAAATATCGAAGTTTATTTTCATGAAGGAAACTACTCACAAGTTTGCTCAGAACTTCGACAGCCCACGACCAGTTTAGCCCTTCTTGGAGATTATCTGTTGTCGCACCAATGGCCTGTGTGCAGCACATTCAGTTGTAGAATATCATAAACGAGAGATTCAGCCGAGTCTCTCGTGAAAACCAAATTAATTTGCAACTGAGTGTATTTCTCGAGTTATTTAATAGTTTTTGACACACGGGCTCTAAAATAGATTGTAAGATCGCGAACCATAGACTTTCGGCTTTTTGTCTATGAGTTATCTCATTTCCCTTAAATGCGCAGTGCAGAAAGTATCTCAACAGCATGAAGAACCAAGAGTAGTTTGCGACTGCAAAGTTGAAAAGCCCGGCCTTATCATGCCTGTTACCATTGTTATCGTTATTATTACTACTTGTACGCCAGGGGAATGCCAATAAACTATCATAAGCGTGAGATTCATCTGAGTCTCCCGTAAAACCAACTCGGCATGCAGATGAACGCAAAAGTCAAAATTAGTGCAATTCGGGTTCAAGTAGAAAGTAAGGTCGAAGGAAACGCGGGAAATGCGACTATCTGATGAACTTCAAGAAGCGTTCGTGGGCTGTCGAATAGTTTTCAGTAGCCGTATGAGTAGTGTATTACGTCCATGTTCTGAGGTGAAAACGTTATCTCACACTCCACAAGGACGTAGCAGGTGCCCATCCATCTACAAAGCGACTGCAAAACGACAGATCATACAGGAATTCTACATCAGACTCACACGCATCAGTCACAAAAAGTATATCAATAAATACCATTTAGTTTGCTCGTTCTGTTGTAAATTTCACCAACTCATGTGACTAGCATCCGATAGAGGACGCAACTGTATGAGGAACTAGCTCAAAATATGCACGCAAATATCTGGATAATGCCGAACTGAAATCAAGAGGTTTCCAGGATCGATCAATATTGGACGCATGGTAAGGGCTGAGCTAACAATGGTTGTGATCTGCGAAAGGCCAGTCAGCGGCAGATTTTTTTTATTAAAATGCATTCTAAGTGCGAAACCCACATGAATGCACTTCACCAGCAATCTTGTTTTGTGCACTTTGATCAAGGGCCTTTGGATCAGTCGATTCATCGGTTCTGAAAAAGATGACAGTGCTGCTTAAAAGCCACCTGTTTCAGGGTGGGGGGGGAGGCATTCACGCTTCCTTATCTGAACATTTCATCATTGTCTAGAAGGTTGCCGCTAAATCTTTCAACAATACCATCCAATTCCACGGTCGCATTCGTACCCCCACACTCCCCGGTCGGACATCTCCCCTATCAGTGTAAAAAGCGAGTTCCGCAATAGCATCGAAATCTTTATCGGTAATTCATCTTGGAACTGTTTCAGCTGAAGAGCCTAGAAAGCAGATACAGAAAAGCCAAGCTCTCGTGATTTTGATTGTGATTTGAAGATTGAGGGGTATTTCGGCTTATCGCCTATTCGAATCTGTTTGGTGTACAGTTGTGCGTGCGCATGTGTGCGTGTATTGGCGAAGGTTTTGCGGGATTTTTCACTGTTTTGTCTGTCCCCTCCCATAAACTGAGAGAACCGAAACTGACAGTGGAATGGCGTGTGTGCGCGCACACACACACACTCAGGGGGACAGTATGTTGTTTAATTCCACCGGAAAGCGCTTGATGCGTAAACATCTACGCTGTTCTTTACTTGACAAGACCAGCTGTCCAAAGACATACCCGACCAGACCAGGTAAGCCTTTATCTCTGAATATGCCTGGTGCCTGGCTTTGTGTCTGACGAGAGAAGCAACAGTAGTCCACCCGAACACTTATCGATCCTGTGGTGCTTTCCGCAGCATGTAGGCAGTCCGGCCTAATCGCCTACGCACCCCTTCAACTGTGTTCAAGTCACACAGGTGGTCTCAAAACCCCCTGGTGAGCTAGAAAGATTCCCACAGATTACGCACGATTTCAATTAGCCTCAGGTTGACCGTGGTACTTTGGTTGCAATTGCTACACAGAGAGACAAAGTACCCGAACCCCCAAAGGTTTCACTTAGCATCACCAGTGAAAACCCGAGGGTTGACATTGTAAACCGAAACAAATTTGACAAGCCATATAATAAAACACAAACTAAAGGAGATCAAATAAGTCCGCTGAAGTTCTCGTCTCTCATATTGCAGTGTTCCGCAAATGCCGCAAGTTTATGCCAGCGCTCAAATCACGCCGAGTATTGATTTCCAATCCTCGAGCTGGGTAACCTCGGGGAAGAGTGCTCCGCCGTTGTGGAGGTGACCTGTCAAATGCTTGCACTAGCATCCACTTTCTGGTCTGTAGTTGTGCTCAGGCTGTGTGATGATACTACAAGACCTACCTGGATCCTACGGAGAGTTTTTGAAACTTACAAATGGCCGTTTTCTGAAAAAACGTATCCACATGATAGGATAGTATACATAGACGTTTGGGGAGAAGAACGCCGACCACATCCAAGCGGATTTGATTCTTTACCAAGGTTTACTTGCGCATGAACTTTCCTGCTGGCTCGCACTGGCATCGATCATCCCAAAAAGTTCAACTCTATATGGAAACATTTAGTCGGAAAAACAGGACGAATTAACAGAACAGCTTTCCTTAACAGAATCTTGCTCCCGGCTCAGTAACTGAGTTCGTGTAGTATGTCATTTTGGATCCCAGCGAATAGGTGGGCTCACTCATGAGTATATGCTAAAATTACGTTATATCACATGTTGGATATAATAATCTATAGTACGGTATACTTGGTATGATACAGTGAACTGTAGTATAGTGAAATATGGTGCTGAAAAATATGGTGACGGGGTGCCAGCTCAAAAGTTACACCGATCGACATAGGCCTAACCGCGGTGTGGCTCCTGAAGATGTGATCAAGGGACATTCATGCTTTAAAATGTCTCGAAAAGGCTAATGTGTCAAATGAAACAGCCGATTGGGAAACTAAGAAGAGTTGTAAAATATTCATACCAAAGTTTGTTTTGTTTTAACGCAATCCTCCCTTCGTACACATTCGGAATTAATGGGCCAGGGCGAGATAGCTCAGTGGCTCGGGTTCGAACCCAACTTCTCCTGTCTAGGCTTCAGCAACCTGGCAGTACTTCTCTCGGGTAGCATGGCAGTTAGGCACCAAAACGGTGCTACAGCTAAACAACTTTTTTCCAGCACATTCGGTAGATTCGAACAAATTAAGTCGCTACCAGCCGGTGGTAATTCGAGATGAATTGCTTTTAGCATAACTTGCAATCGCCTCAAGTGGTCAGTTCTTCGCACTAGTGGAAGGTTTGTTACAGTTAGTAGTCGTACAACCAAGGAAAAGTATCGATTTAGTCCATGTAAAACTCACCACGACGCTGCATGTAGGCAAACAGCTCATCCAGGAACTCCTTTCGCTTCGGATCGTCTGACAAAACATAAAGCTGATGGTACGAAAAAGGAGGGGAGGGGGAGCGAAGAAGATAACGGTAAGGAAATTTTCAAGGAAGCTTCCATCAGTCAATACTATCGCCTTCAAAATGAACTACTGAAGCTCACGTGATATAAAACTATAATTTTTGCACTTCTGAAATACAATCCTATGAAGAAAACACGTAAAGGAATAAAACAAATTTGGCTTTTTCCAGAGTTTGATTGGTATCTCTTATGATCGGCCTGTCCAGAAGGAAGAGCTGTACAGTGAAATAAGCGTACTTCAAGTGTCATCATGATCACCGATCGTCGTAATATCGAGGAGTCAGTTCGTTTCTTTGAGCTGACAAGCCTCTGGAATTGGGAGCACAAAGGTTTTTACTCTGTGATGTTGGGAGTTGACAGTCAAAGTCTTACCTGATACACAAAAGTAGAATAATAACTTGAACTATTTTATTTTTGGTTTAGTACATATGTGAACCTGTAAAATTGTGTCGATAGTTTCAGGATAGTCAATAAAACTCCTCTCAGAACAGTTTGAGCGGTATCCCATCGGAACCATTTAGTGAAGGCGCCCACTCGTTTATAAACTAGTCAACTCGCTTATCTATCGATTTATGCAGATTGGACGGTCTGTCTTGGGGTCAGATGAGTCTGGTTTCTGGCTTGAATTCCGGCCGCTTATGGCCGCTGTTCATAAGAGAGAGTCGATTGCGTAGTACTTTGTGAAAAAGGTGCGGAACGGGCCCTGAGATGAACCCATCGACTTGCCTGAGCAGATCAACCAGCATCACACGAATTTATGCAATGAACCGCCGTGATGGAATTGAAGTGGGGTTGGTCCGACAAACTGGAACAAGCGGCTACTCTTGAATTACTGTTCTGATTGGTGTTTCGCGAGTAGCTAATGGCTAACTTGAAGCCATTTTCTCATAAGACATCTAAATTTCACAATCAAGCCGTGATAGCTTCATCCCCAACTAAAAATGACGCAGTTTCGACAGATCGTAGGGTATTTCGACCATTAATCCAGAGGAAGTACGGTCCTATAGGATGAATGGAACTTCCACCCAAGAAGTCAGCCAGTAGTTCCCGTGATTCTAGGATGAATGGAGCTCTATCCTGTTTGAGTGAGAACTAATCGCACTGCTGTTAAACAGCTCCAGACCAAACGGTAGCACCCTCTCAGTGCCTAGCTGCCATGCCACCCGAAGGAACCACGAGGGCTGGGATACCGCCAG